GATGAGGTTGAATTCGCCGACTTTGCCAAGGCTTTCAACAAGGCGTCCCAGCTGGCCGACACCGCGGGCGAGGAGGGCGCCAACTGCCTGGGCTGGGCGGCGCGCGACACCAGCGCCCAGCTGTCGCCGTACAAGTTCAAGCGGAGGGAACTGGGGCCAAAGGACGTGTTCCTCAAGATCACCCATTCGGGTGGGTATCTTTTGATCCAATGTGGTATGCTTGCCTGGCCTGATTGGAAAGGATGCCAGAATGCCACCCCTTCACTCTTGGCTAGGAAGGGCTCCGTGAGCCTCCATCCTGGCCATGTGCCCACCTACAGCCCTGGAAGGATATGCGCCATGCTGCATCGGCGCTCTGGCCGATCAACCCTGGCATCCACCCCCGTTCGCCCCCGCATCCTCTCCGCCCCCACACCTGCCCTCCAGGCATGTGCCACAGCGACCTGCACACCATCAACGGCGACTGGGGCACCCCTCTGTGAGCCCCTGCGGGCGCCCTTGCTTGGCAAATGCAGGCGGGCAGCACACACCACGTTTGAGGTTGTAGCTGCACTGGGGCGGCAGGGCCGGTGGCGCGTCAGGCGCCGCGTGGTGTTGCGCCAAACATGTGCCGAAACGGGGTCTCTCCTGTTGACGGTCTGTCACCTCCCCCTGCCGCTGCCCTGCGCTCTCTGCCCGTAGGTTCCCTGTCGTCCCTGGGTGCGCACCCCCTGCCAAGCTGCAGCCCCCTCTCATCCCAGCCTGCCAAATCGGCGCCTGCACCCCTGAATAAACCCCTGCCGCCGTGGCAGCCTTTTCTCCGTGCCCGCGTTTGCTTTGGCCCGTCGCTGCCTCGTCCACGGCGGCCTCTTGTCCCAACGCCTTGTGCTCTCGTGGCGCGCCGTGACTGCCACCTCTGGTATCTGCCTGCTTGTGCTGACCTCCACATTTACCATCTGATATTCAACCCCACGCGGCCCCATTTTCAGGCATGAGATGGTGGGCATCGTCGCGGCGATCGGCTCTGAGGTGAGGGACCGCGCCGGCGCGGCCTGGCCAGCCGCCAGCAGGCTCGCGGCTCCGGCTTTGATTGCTGGCGCCAGGGTCTGCTCACCGACCGCAAGCAAGGAGGCGTGGCCTGCAGGGCTGCCTGAGCAGCTCGGCTGACATGTCGTGCCAGAATCAACGATGCTGGCGAACTGGTTGTACCCTGGTTATGTGCACCTCATCACAGCCCCGCCGATGCACTCGCCACGCTCTCACACCCCAAGGTGACCAAGTTCAAGGTCGGGGACCGCGCAGGCGTGGGCACCTTTGTCGACAGCTGCCGCAACTGCCCTGAGTGCCTGGCGGGTGACGACCAGTTCTGCTCCGAGGTGCGTGTGCGTGTGTGTATGTGCGTGCGTGCGTGCGTGCGTGCGTGCATGTGATGGGGTGCGGCCTGCAGGCATGCCCTGGGGCCCGAGGCGACGACCAAACTGCAGAGTCTGCCCCCAGCCACGAGCCACTGAAGGCCGTCGCCTCACATATCACACGCTTTGCTCGGCCAGCGCAAGCCTGCTCTCTTTTTGTTACGGAACCCTGCCTGAACCTGTAATATTTCAACCCCTCCGCTGCAGTGCGTGTTCTCATACAACGCCATGCACAAGGACGGTCTCAAGTCCCAGGCGAGTGGGACATCAACAATCCCGCGGGGCGGGGCGCGAGAGCGGCGGAGCAGGGTGGGGCTGGGCGGGCAGTGCTTTACAGTGCCCCATACCCACCGGGACGCTTCTTGACGCATAAGCTGACCTCTTGTTGTCCCACAGGGCGGCTACTCGACCCACATCATCAGCGCGGAGCACTACACTCACAAGGTCCCCGACAATCTGGACCTGGCTGGCGTGGCGCCCCTGCTCTGCGCGGGTGAGTCGCTCGCCTGCCTGTGTCATGTGCTCCGTGCACAGGAGGCATCGGCCTGCATCTTGCTGCAGCTGGGGCGACGTGCTGGTGCCGCAGCTGGTGCGGCTGCTGGTGCGGCTGCTGCAGCTGCCCCCTCTAGTGATGTGCGTGCAACTCAGCACCACAACAGCAGCGCCAACCTTGGACTCTCCAACCCCACAACGCCCCTCCTTGATCCACCAAAGGCATCACCACCTACACGCCGTACAAGCGTTACGGCCTGAACAAGCCTGGTATGAAGATTGGAGTGGTCGGCCTGGGCGGCCTGGTGAGAGCTGGGGTGCAAAGTGTCGTCGTTTGGGGGGGGGGGGTGAGGCGATGTGGTGAGGTCCAGGTGCACTGGCCAGACAGCATCGCACACTGCTACAGCCAGGAGTGCCAACGAGTGGTGGTGTGTCGCACCCAGGTGCCCTGCTGCCACGACTGTGTGGCTCCAGGACTGCCCGCAGCTGTTTGTATGGTACACAACAGAGCGTGCACACTGCCCGTCTCCATCCAACACTGCTCATTTCTCTCTCTGCAACTCCCCCAATCCCAGGGCCACATGGCTGTGAAGTTTGGTGTGGCCTTTGGCTGCGAGGTTTACGTCATCTCACGCAGGTGGGGGAAATGACACGAGGGTGTGTGCGCGCGCATGCGTGCATGTATGCCTCAACATGTGCGCATCCACATGCGCAAACGCGCAGACAGAGAGGGAGGCGACCGCCCTCAGCACGTCAGAGCAAGCCTGCCGTCGAAGCAATGCCAGCAGCGGGCGACGTATCCCGCAGGCGTCGCCCGTCCGCGCGCATCCGACTCTGGGCCTCCCTATGTGCGCCCCGCTACACCCTCTCGAAAACAACAGCAAGGCCAAGGAGGCTGAGGCCCTGGCCATGGGCGCCAAGGTGGGTGTGCACGCGCTGCCAGGGGCTGAGTGCATGAGGAAGGACAACTGAAACCACTTTGCGATGTTCACAGTTTGCATTTGCAAAACTTTGCGAGCATTGCGGCTGGTTGATCAAAAGTGCACGACCATTGTGTGCATGCGTGTGGCAAGTCGATTGTTTGCAGCATTCCACGCATATCTGACGCGGATGCCACCGTGCCCCCCTCCCCGCTGCAGGCCGTGATCCCCACCAACGACGAGGAGGCCATCAAGGCTCACGCCAACCAGCTGGACGGCATCATAGACACCGTGGCCGCCAAGCACGACTACACGCCACTCTTCACCATGCTCAAGGCCAAGGTGCGCCAGCAGGGACTCGCAATCAGGCGGCAGCGGGCCGTTTGCAGGGGTTGAAAGTAACGCGACGCTCCAACATTGAGAAAGCTGCGTTCAGGCAGCAGGCCTGCCGTGAAGTGGTCCTCTGCGGGCGCATGCGACTTGGTCAACACACGGTCAAAGCGACACGATCCCTTGGCTGTGAACGCCAGCGCCTTGTTTCACCCACAGCCGCCAACCACCCACGTGTGCCGCAAACCCCAGGCGACGATGTGCGTTGTGGGCGCGCCTCCCGGGGACGCCTCCTTCCCCTGGGGACCCATGCTTTTCAAGTGAGCCGGTCGGCGGCCGCTGCCCGCCCGACCCCTATCGGGGAAAAGAAACGCCGCTCGCCCAGCCCTGTGTGCCGCGCGTTCGCCATGGGTTCGCGGCATCGTGCGCACCCGCACAGCCCGCGCGCCCAACCAGGACCTGCGACCTTCCCGCGCCCTCGGACGACCCCATTCACCCGCTGACGCCACTCTACTTTTAACCCACCCTTCAGGGCTCTGACGCTCTGCAGCAGCCTGGTGGGCAACCCCGGGGATACCCAGGAAATGCTGGACTTCTGCGGAGAGAAGAACGTCGTGTCCGACGTCGAGGTGCGCAGCAATTCTCACAGGCCCGCGCGCGCACGTGCGTATGCGTGAAGACGGGCCCCATGCTTGGGCGTGGTGGGAGCTGATGCACGCTGCTGCGGTGCGTGGGCTCGCCCGCCGCGATGCGCAGCGCCCTCCATCCTTGCCCCGCACCCGCGCGTCGGCGCCATTTGCCTGCCTCCGCCCCAAAGTGCCACGGCTCTCTTCGCCCTTAACGCCATGCAGCCCCTGGGCACCCGCGCCTCCCTGGGCAGCCACCCCACCCTTTCTCACTCGTTGCCCTTGGACCCTTATTCCGCGCTTGTTGCCACGTCGTGGACCCCACCCATCACCAGGTGATCGACATGGAGTACGTCCAGACCGCTTTCGAGCGCATGGAGAAGGGGGACGTCAAGGTGTGTGTGTGGGGTGGGGGGAGGGTCCCGGGG